AAAATCCCACCACATCAGAATGAAATTTGAATTCCATATGATCTGGAATTAAAAGCGAGTCTAATGGCAACTGAGTAACCATTTTTGATTGTCATTAAAACTCCTCTCATTTATTACTGCCCTTTAGGGAAGGAAATCTTTCATCTTTACCTGATCTGGCCTATATGGGACTCCAGATTCTTAACTGCCCTCTGAAATGGTCTCGAGAATCACTCAGTTCAAAGGCAATTAAGAAAGTTCTGGTTATGGAGGGTGTACAAAGATTTACTAGTCTGATAGTTTAAGGATTTGGGGTAGGGCATTTGGAACAGAAATGGAAGAAATTTCTTCACTCAAAAGGTGGTGAGCTTGTGGAATTCTCTGTCACAGAAGGAGGTGGAGGCCAAAACATTGAATGTTTTCAAGAAGGAGTTTGATCCCTTTAACCCTAAGAACTATATCTATGAGAATGGGGATAAAGTGGCAACAGGGCACTGAATTAGGTCATCAATCATCATCATTATGAATGGAAGAGCAGGCTCAAAAGGACTGAATAGTCTACCCTGGCTCCTATTTTCTATTTTTATTTTCCATTTATGTTTCACAGGGAAAGATATATCTTACCATTATATCTGCTCTCATTAGTGTCATCCTTTTTTGCTTCAGACCTCACCCACCTGAAGAAAAGAATGCAAAATCTTTCAGCTGTTATAATGGTAACCAATATTGTTGCTGCAGGCTCTATCTACAGAACATGGACTGTAAGGATTTAAGGTGACAGAACACCACCACCTTCTCAAGGGCAACTATGGACAGCAATACGTATTGGTCCAGCCAGTGATACTCACATTCCACGAGTTAACGTAAAAACAATATATATTCCCCAGAATACTAAAACAGCTGTTAGCTTTGCTTGTTGCTGTTTACTTTGATGTTTGTAGCACTGGTCTCTGATTAGCTAACTTACTAATATCCCTGCCCTGTTTTTAATCAGGTACAGTCTTCTGTCAGAATCTGTTCCCTTTTTCAAAGCCCAAATTGGAATCTTGCCATTTAGAAGTTTACATAATGTAAACCTTTGTTCATCCTATTAAAGGAGTAATAACAAGTACATTCAGAAAATCATAATCTAATCAAGGAGAGTCAGCATGGCTTCATGAAAGGGAAATAGTATCTTTTTAATCAAAGAAGTTGCAACTGGAGTGGAATAAGAGGAACCAGTAGATGTGTTGCATTTGGAATTCCAGAAGGCATTTGATAAACTACTTCACAAAAGGTTAAGTTACAAGATAAGAGCCTGTGGTGTTGGAGGTAGTATTTTGGCATGGATAAAGAATTGGCAAATAGGCAAGAAACAGTAAGTGAGGATAAGGAATTATTTTTCAGCTTGGTGAAACCTATAACCAGTGGTGTTCCACAGGGATCAGTGCTAGGACTGCAACTGTTTATAACATATATTGATGACTTGGAAGAAGGAAGCAAATGTACTATAGCCAAATTTGCAGACAACATAAAAATAGATGGAAAGGTAGGAGTGTCTAGAGCCAGAGACATAATCTCAGAATTAATGGGCACCAATCTAAGACTAAGATAAGGAGGCATTTCTTTGCTCAGATGGGTGAGTCTTTGAAACTCTTCGCCACAGAGAGCTGTGGAGACAGAATCATTTTGTATATTTAAGGTTGAGATAAATAGGTTCTTGATCAGTAGGAGAATTGAGGGTCATGGTGAAGAGGCAGGAAAAAGGATGGAAAGAATGATCCTACTGAATGGTGGAGCAGATGTGGGGAGACCAGTGTATTCCTGCTCTGATTTCTAATGGTCGTATAGTTCCACTGTTGTATGCAATTAAGCAGCCTGCCATGATGATTCAATCTTGTAATGAGTCATCCTTAGGCCCTTCCACCTTTCAAATTATTTACCAGTTAAGAAGGGGAGGGTGCAACAGAGGCAAAACAACCAAAATAGTAAAAGGCTAACAAAATCACAGCTGTTTGCAGTAGAAACTGTAAAAGAAAATGTTCAAGAGAATACTATTTTTCCCAGATCTGGTTAGCAAACATCTTTTGAATGTTACAGCATATGATCTACTGGATGATTCTTTTGATAATTTTATTTTTTATATTACTGAGGTGCCACAGACCAGAAAGTCCAAGATTTGGTGCTTAGTTGCACCGAGTTACCTGATCTCAGCCAGATTAGCAGGAACATCACAAAAAATAGCTCCTGTCCCTGATCATAATTCAGTTTCCTCTGGTAATCTCATTGCCCAGAATATTTCCTCACTTTATTGTTATCCAGCCAAGGGATCAACCCAAGGAAGCTACATGAGACTCCACACGTGCTAAATAGCAGAAGCAACATGCTATAGACAGAGTGAAGTGATCCTATGAACATAAAGCAGCACTGCCACAACTAGTCAGAATGATGGTGGACAATTAGACAATCTGAGAACACTCCACAAACACTCCCTATCCTTAATGATGATGGAATTCAGAAAATCATTGCAGAAGATGAAGCAAAAGCTGGAATTGCCAACTCGATGATCTATTTGTGAGGTGTATCCAGGAGGGTTTCTTAAAGCAATACGTACATAGTCCAACTAGGGAAGGAGCCATACTAGGTCTAGTATTGGGAATAAGCCCAGTCAGGTGATCAAGGTTTCAGTGTCGTAACATTTTGGAAACAATGACCATATTTACACAAGTTTGAAGTTACTTATGGATAAGGATAAGAGTAGTCCTTGCGTGAAAATACTAAATTGGGGAAGGCTAATTTTCACAATATTAGGCCGGAACTAGCGCATGTAGATTGGGGGCAGCCGTTTGAGGATAAATGCACATCTGTTATGTGGCAATCTTTTAAAGGCCTGTTGATTAGGTTCAGAAGTTGCTGGAAGAGCTTAGCAGGTCTGGCAGCATCTGTGAAGAGACATCAGAGTTAACGGAGTTAACGTTTTGGGTCTGGTGACCCTTCCTCAGAACTGATGGTAGCTAGGAAAATGTTGGTTTATATGCAGAAGATAGGGTTGCAGGGAGGGGGTCAGGAGTAAATGATAGGTGGGGATAGAGCCAAAAGATAGAGAAGAACAGTTGGACAGACAAAGCAGTGGATACCGATCTGGCTAGATTTACTGGAGACTCGGGCAGAGAATTGGCAGATGGCATTTAATTCAGATAAATGCGAGGTGACACATTTTAGAAGGTCTAATGCAGGAGGGAAGTGTGCAGTAAATGGCAGAACCCTTAAAGGCATTAAGATAGAGAGGGATTTTGGCGTACAGGTCCACAGTTCCACAAAAGTGACAACACAAGTAGATAAGGTGGAGCATACTTGTCGTCATTGGTCGAGGCATAGAATATAAAAATTAGCAAGTCATGTAGTTGTATACAACTTCAGTTAGGCCACATTTGGAATACTGCATACTGTTCTGGTTGCCACACTACCAGAAATAGGTGAGGCTTCAGAAAGAGTACAGAAAAAGGTTTACCGAGATGTTGCCTGGTTTGGTGGGTATTTGCTATCAGGAGAGATTGGACAAATTTTATTTTCACTTGAATATTAGAGGCTGAGGGGGTGACCTGATAGAAGTTTACAAATTGTGAAAGGCATTGATTGAATGGATAGTCTGAGTCTTTATCCTAGGTTAGAAATATTAATTACTAGGGAACATAGGTTTAAGGTAAAAGGGGGAAGGTTCAGGGGAGATGTGAGAGACAAGTTTGTTTTTTTTTTAAACACAAAGGGTGGTAAGTGCCTGGAACGTGCTGCCAGAGGAGGTAGTAGGAACAGGTGCAATAGCAACATTTAAGAGGCACCTTGACAGATACATAAATATGCAGGGAATAGAAGGATACAGACCATGTAGAGGCAAAAGGCTTTTAATTTAGAAAGGTGTCATGTGTCGGCATAGTCTTGGTAGGCCAAAGGCCTTGTACCAGTGTTGTACTGTTCTTTGTTATTAACTGAAGGCACTGGATCCTGCAAAGACTGTGGGGGATGACAAAATCCAGCTGTACAGAAGAATTGTGCTCTGGAACTGATCAAACCCTTAACAAAGCTGTGGAAGTACAACTAAAATATTGATACTTACATTAAATTTTGAAAAATTGCCCAAGTATGTCCCATCTGCAAAATGCAAATCTCACCAATTCTCTCATCAACTGAACTATTAAGAGGTATTTACTCAGCAATAACCTCCTTACAATATACTATTTGGGTCCTGCTAAGCCTACTGAACTCTTAATGTCCCTTCAGCCTTAGTATAGCACTAGGGGTGCACCTAATCTGGATGGACTACAGTAGAGTAAAGGTGGCAGCTCACCACAATGTTCTCAAGGGGATTCAGGGATAGACAATATATGTTGGCCTTGCCAGTGACACTCGGATCTCATGAATGAGCAATAAAGGGCAAGTGCCTGTGTGTGACCTCAAAGGTCGTGAGACCAGCTTTAAACTTGGTTGTAGTTCTTTCCATGATTGAATCCACTACCGATACAGACAGAGGGAAAAGAGCTATGTAGGTAAGGTTGTGTAATGAAATCATGGAACTGTAAGGAGGCTGTGCTTTCAGGAGAAGATGGAAGGAAAAAAAAAGTCAATTTTGTTTTATTCTCTCGTGGGATGTGGGCATCACTAGTTGGCTGGTATTTATTGCCTCTCCCTTGAGATATTTAGCACCAGGTTGGTCAGAAAACAATATTTGTCCTTCCAAATTAGTGGTTATTCTAGCTTGAAGGAAATGCTTGTTTCTGGCACCAAAGTGGGTGTCAGTAAAACATGAATATTCTGGTTAACCTCCAAAGACTTGGGAAAACAATTAACATTCTGGTGGTTAATATCATTGCATTTATGTCTAAGAGTGTGTGTTTTGGACACGTCAAATTTGACATGAACCTGCACAATTGGACTGTATTGTAGAAAACAATATTTTTAAAATTTTGAATACAAAATATCCCTTGATGCATTTAAGATCAGTCGTTGGTTCAACTTTCTAAATCCAGCATAGCTGAAAATGGATTTATCACAAAAAAAAGCTTTTTTAATCACAATGTCTAGTTCACCATTTGTGAATAACCCAATTTTTCATAACTGAAAATATCTTTGCAAGGGATACAGGACCATTTAATAGTTTAACTAAAAGGTTGACTGCTGCATACCAATTAAAGTATTTAAAGGCTTTTTGAAAAGATGCTTCTTAAAACCTGAGCAGTCATATTGAAAATGGATTATCAGTATTTAACTTTCATCATTTGACTTTAATACCTGAGACTTTCAGCGTCAAAAATGATTGCAAAAAGAACACTGCTGATCTAAAATAGCTGTTATATGCACCTGACAAGCCTACGCAATCCATGTGAAATACTACTTTAATGAAGACACACTGAAACCCATAAAATAAGTCTCTTATTTTACTCATACTTGATGATAATCACACATTTAAGAGAATCAATCATTGCCTACAACTATTCAGCTTGAAATGAAACAATGACAGACACTAGAATCGGGAAAGGAACCGTATATCAACAGCAGCCTTTCAGCAAAAAGAGAAAGCAACATGGACTGATAACAGCAAGAATACTGCAAGTTCTTCTCCACCTATCATTTACAGAAGAAATCAGCATCCGTGAAAAAGCAACATGAAAAGAATGATTGTTTATTGAGTACACACGCTCTGTAAACTTTGCAACTGCTAAAATAAACAGAAACAGCTAAACAGTCATACTCCGGTCTTTCCATTCTCACAATTCAAGGGATTCTTAAGATCTATAAGAAATAGTGGACCTTTTATTTTTCCTGGTGTTAACTACCAATTAATACAAGGGTGAATCTTCCTCTATGCTTGGGGTAAAAATTATCTTGATGGAGCAAGAGAGAGTTCAAGGTAAATCACTTTCGCATATTGCAGCCTGCAAAATATTCAGTCAATTTAACATAATGGACTGAAAATTGCGAAGGCTTCATTATGCTGGACAATCCTCCTTGCCCAACTTTTCCTGCATTTCTTCCAAATGACCTTTTACAACTAGTGCAGGCTGTACCTACAGACAATACGTATATCACAGTACATGAAAGACCAGTTTCAGACAAATCTTATTTAAACTGACATAACCATAACATCTCAATCTAACTGTAATGACCAGTCTACCAAGAACACTGCAGCAAAAGTATGTTGAAAGAAGGGATTTGGAAATCTAGCAGCACCATCCTACTTCTTCTGCCGACAATTGGAAAGTCAAGTTATCAACTGGCCTTTACACTGAAAATCAGACAGAGCATCTCTTACCTACACACAGCCAATTTATCTGATCAATCAAACTTTTGGTGCTTTAATATCTTTGAAATAGTTTTACATTTCTGTACATTCAATTTCATCATTTACTCATGAGAGATTCCACACAAGTGAATTAATTGCACACAATCACATTAACTCACAAACACTTCTTACACAGGCAGTGAGATCAACCGTTGGGCAAACTTACCCTTCAAGACCATCTGCGTCAAAAGAGGCCACAAAGTAGACATCACCAGCAGGCTTTGGTGGCCTATAAACAATCTAAAAAACGTACAGAGTATATGAGCTAATATGTAGCTTTGTGTTTTAGGCAAGTTCTTATCTATGAGTGAGTCAATTCTCTGGTCTAGGGTCACTGCTATATTGCACAGCCACTATCTGGCATTACTTCATTATCTATAATCAGGAATTTTCTCATAGTGAGGAAAGAAGACCAGAGACACAATCCTCCCAACCAACCATGTAAATCCCATAATTATACTAAAACCTGAAAGAAATTGATCTGATACTGTATCAATACAACAATTAAAAGAAATGGGAATTATTTTCCTGATGGGTCAGTGGGTAATCTGTTACTTGGTTTGCAATTGAGTAACAAAAACCAGGGTTGCATATGGATCTAAAAGAGTTAATATAGAGGAATGCTATAACTACTAACAGTACTTCACTCTCACTATAACCAATCACTAATTTACTAATGGTGATATCATATGGACTAGTGGACAAAGGAATTTTAGGACCTTAAAGGTCTGAGATCTAACATTTGGTCCTCCTCAAAGTCTCTGTAACAATGTCTATTAAATCAACGTAACCTGTAATTAAACAAAACTACAGATGCTGTAAATCTGAAACAAAAACAAAATAAAAATAGAGACAGCTGGACAAACTCAGCCGGTCTAGCAGTGTCTGCGGAGAGAAAGCATGTCAACATTTCAGGTCCAGTGACCCTTCTTTGGAACTGATTGTAGCTAGGAATAGCTGCTGTGGTGCTGGTATTTTACTTTGCAAATACACACAGGAAGTGCTCTACCAAATTCAATAGCTATTGCCGAAGGTGGAAATTGGAACATTTAATCTATGAATATGTACCAGAAAAGCTCTCACCTGGTTTGAATGAGGAGATTCTTCATCTTGAAATTCTGAATCCTCAATGTCTTCAGCAAACACAAGAGTCAGTCCACAGACCATGAGATATGAAATTAACTGAAGTTGCATAGTTTCTTGTAAAAGTGAAGCAAATTGTTAGGAATCCTCTATTACATTTACATGATGTTTTGAAGACTCCATTCTTGGCATAAACTGTCACTCAATTGAACAGACATTGGAAAATTGGGACCACTACAAATTAGGTTTACTGCACCATGCTGACCACCTAATCTGTGCCCCTGTGGAACAACATATGGGCAATCTGCTTTGACAGGTTATAGTGCAGCAGAATTGAAAATTACCAAATCTGTAAATTAAGATGCAAGTTTAAGTGGTTTTAAATGACTAGGAGACAGTAAGGACTGCAGATGCTGGAAACCAGAGTCAATAAATGTGGAGCTGGACAAACACAGCAGGTCACTTAGCATCCAAAGAGCAGGAAAGTCAAAACTCTTCGTCAGTTTTATGTGTGCTTTAGATGCAGGGCAACTCTACTTCTACAGACTTTTTTCTAGTTTATGGCTGGATAATGGCAAACAAAAAAAAAATACCAACAAGTTCATGAATCAGAGAGAAAAGGAGTTTGTATTCTGTGCATTAGCATATTGATGAATATTTTGTGACATTTTTCTGCTTTTGTTTGTATGACGATATCCATTTCAAACAGGATTAATCTTGTAAATGCACAGATGATTGTGACTAAATAACTACCATTCACAGTGTCATTAGAAATCAGTATTATGATGCAAATTTGGAAATTGGAAGTAAAGCGATTTTTTTAAACCTGCTAATGGGACACAATTTGCAGGGCATCCAAGAGATCTAACTAGTTGTTAGACTTTGTCCTTTGCAGTGATAGATGTTTAAAATTTCTTGTGTGGCATGTTGCTAAACTACAAAATGATAAAAGTACAATGACAAAACTGTTGCATAGAAAGAGGCCACTTGACTATTGTGTCGGCACTGGCTCTTCAAAATAGACAACATTACTTACTACCAATTTCCTATTTTTCTCCATACCCAGGCATATTATTTCTATTAAACTAATTACCCAATAACCTCTTCAATACCTCAATTTAACCTGCCTCCACCATACATCTAGCAACGTGGGAAAGCAGGCATGAATGAACAAGGCAAACAACTGTATACTTCCTTAATCAGACTGAAGGATTGTGAAGTGAACAGCGCAGGGTCTGAGAAGGAAGTGCAAACTCCAATAGGTGAATTCAATGTCAAAGCAGGTACAAAAAGGAAATGCATTTAATTTTAAGTTTTACAATCAATCTGTAGAAATGAGGCTCCATGCTTGTAATCTTTACTTTTCAGTGCACGAAAAGCTATTTTTCAGTAATTAACTTATCATACGCGGAAATTTACTTGCCCTTTAATGCGTTTCAGTGGTGAATCGGGCAACTGAGTGTGAACTAAAGCTGGAGCAGCTGCACCGATTCAGGCAGTAACATTTAGATTTTGTTTTAGTCATAGTATGCGCCAATCCGATATTAACTGTTACTCCAATTTCTTTCATGGCTTCAGTACTTGTTCACATGTTTCTGATTAGTATGATGTACAATTCAAATTGGCCAGAACACGAGGACACGGCTGTATTTCCGCTGAGATAGTAGGAACTGCAGATGCTGGAGAATCCGAGACAACAAGGTGCAGG